TGGGGGGGTGGGGCGGGGGGTGAAGCACAGTGTCATAGAAGTGCTTTGTGTTGTCTAAATTAAAGTCTCTTCTGCTATATTGTTGTGTCTGTAGACCTTAAGAGTGACCTTTTCCTGTTCTGACAGGGCCCACAGTGTAGGGTACTGCGTTACCACTGACATCAGTCTCTGTTGGTCTGATACAGCAGAGCACGTAAAGGTGATGCTGGTGTAAATGTGCCACCTTCTCTAGCCTCTGTGCCATGGTGTGTTGTCCTGCTAGGGTCTACTGGCAAGATTGTGCAGCTCCGTGTAACTTAGCAATATGGATGCACTTTTTTGCTGTCTTATTTTTAATCCAGATCAGTATCTATATCCAGTTAACAGTGTGGTTTCAGGAGGAGATCTGCAGACATGCAATGGGTGAGCTGTTTCATGGCTGTACGCTGTAGTACAAGGTGGGAATGAGCAACAGTAGGGCAAAACTGCATTAAAGCTGACAGCTTTAAGGAACATGTGGCAACTGTTGAAATTTTTCTCTTAAAATGCATCTATTTTGTTAACTTTGTGTTTCAATTTTTTAAATTCAAAATAAACTAGAGCCCCTAACAGCTTGGCTGCAACTTGTAAGTCTTGAAAAATGTGTATTATGTAAGTGGAAAGTAGTCCCACCCCAGTGAAGAACTGGATCCTTGGTGTTCAGGTAACCTCTCAGCAAAACAAAGCTGAAACTTGCTTGAAGTGAAACATCAGGTGAAGTGAACTTCATGCAATTTTTGCTTTTATACTGTGAGTTTGGACCTTCATAGTGTCATTAGGTAGTTCATGGAGAGGCATTGGAGGATCTTCTCTGGACTTGGATAGACAATCTGTACCACGTTACAAAAATAATTGTGTCATGTTGGTGTGACAATGTGATCTTGAACCTTTCATTTAAAGTAGCTCTGTAGACTTCAGGGAAAGATTGTTCCTCTGAGTACTGTCAGTTAACTTTGACTCTCTCAAGGATAAAACATTGAACACTAATCAGCAAACATAATACAGTTTCTAAGGCATAAAATCCTACTATATTTATTAAAAAACACAGAACCAAAAAAAAACCACCCAAAGAACAATCCATCAGTGATCAACTTTATCTGCTTTTGCATAATCTCTGCTCTAGATTACTTCCACTGAAGCTTTGCACCACTGTTGGGGAGAGCGATGAGGGAAGGCTCCAAGAGGAAGCAGGTTCAGCAGTACCTGGATTAACTCACAAATTGTCATGCAAGCCAGGGTTATTCAATTCACTTATGTTAAAAAAGAAAAAAAAGTGTTTGTATGTTGCCTGTAACCAGCATTTCAGTGCTTAACATTTTTCTGTGGCGCTATAGTCAGTATGTGCATTTTTATCTGGGCGTGTTTGCTGTCTTTCTATTTCCACCTCTTCAACAAAGATGGAAGGTTGATTCCTAAAAAGGAACATTTTTATAGCAGTTCAATGTGGCTTGACCTCAGTAGAGGTCAGATATCTATAGCTCAATCCAGCAAGATGCTGGGGATGTCTTGATTTACGTGTAGTGCCTATGAAAGTCTGCAGAAATGAAAATGACTCAGCCTGAAAGGACTTGCTAGCCTTCAGGATTTGGTCCTGAAATAGCTAATGTGTGATGTGAACTGGGACCTTACACTATCTTAAGTCTCTTTCCTACAAGAAAGTCACAAGCAAGACACTGATGCTTCTGTATTTGAAGAGTGTTTTTCTGTCTGGTGCTGCAGACAGTAGCATAAGCTCAAACCTTGCTCCCTGCCAAATGTGGAATAGTAGAGAGGGTAACAGCATGTGCTTTGCATTATGTCTAGAGGTGCATTAGTGGAAAAATCTTCCAGCTATATGGTGTTTCTGTCTGGCCGATATATAAAATATAATAAAACACAGTAGCATGTTCAATAGCAAAGCTAGTGATTCATAATTGATGTGTTTTGTTTAGTTTTACATTGTGTGCATGCTTGTCTTTGTTCTAGACCTTTGTTTACGGATATATTGTGGAAGTTAGAGTACTTTTTCAGTAAAATACTAATATATGCAGAATGTTACCCAAATGCAATTTTTGCAGCTGAAAACTGCAAGATATACACTGAATGCATATGTATGTACATCTTGAGCATTTTTCTCATAACTTCTTTGCCTCCCAGAATTGCTTTTTTCCCCCCCTCTATACATAACTAGCTTGTTGTGAAGGAAATAGGGTGACAGTGCTATTAGTAGTTTAAGTAAACTATTTATGGCTGGTTTTTTTTTTTAACTTGAAGGGATAACTTGCCCCGGTCTTACTGCATTGCTGCATGTGTGGAATGGGGGAAGCTAAAACAAGCTTTAGAGCCTTTGTGATAGCTAGCCAGTGAAACGTTGTCAAGCTTTTACTGAGTTCTCAGTAAAATTTTAGTCATATTCCCATCTTAACATGGAAAGTATATTTCCTTGCATGAAAAACTAAGAAGTTGCACATCTCTTTAGAGAAGTCTTCTCAGCTCCTTTTGTAATAATTTAAAATATTTTCTTTCTTCATAAACACCAGTTTAATCTCTTCCCAGTTTTAGGAGTTAGTGTAAAAGTGACGTTGATCTAAATGGTCATGCATTGCTCTATCGAAGTTATATCAGAGACTTAAGGCTTTTATACTTTTCCCAGTTTTGGCATAAGGAATTGAATGCCTGCATGCTTAGATTTGCCTTGTAACATAGTATGCATGTATTACTAACGTATAAATAGGGAACATGTAAATAAACTGTTTCAGAGCTACAGAAGAATCCTTTATATCAATAAAACCTATTTAGTTTCAGTTGCTGCATGTGATGAGGAAGGGAGCAGAAAGATAAAGGGTAATCTTTCCTCCTAAGCTCCTGCCCTTACACTTGCTTTGCCAAGGACCTTTGGTAACCCTAGGAGTGAGCTTTCTGTAGTTACATGGGGAGTCCTGACAGATGGTCGTCGTTCTGCTGACAGAGACGAGCCTGGGATTGGCCTGCGAGTTGTCAGGTTTTTGCTTACCCTTTGGTTCTGGTTGTTGCCACAATACATGGCTTATAAATGACAAATTGATCTGCTTTCCTTCTCGGTTTCCTAAAACACTGTTGTAATGCAATACTTCAGTCTTTTCTTTTTTTTTAGGAAGCTGGATTCTGGATCTAGATGGTGTGTGGCTCCTGGAAAGCATTAAGAGCTATGTTAGAAAGGGATTTTGCACCCAATTAAAAGAGGCTTTGTTCTGGGAGTTAACAGTGCAAGACTAGAAAGAGTAAAATCAAAGAAACAGTTCTCAGAACTGAGAAGAGTGTGTGTTTATGTGTTTGTTTTACAAAAATAAGGATTTGGAAAATAGTTCAGTCCCTCTGCAAACATAGAAATCACCAGGCATAGGCTTTGGCAAGAAAGGTTTTGCTTGCACTATTGTTAACTTGAATGGAGCACCTTTGTGCTATCTCAAGTCTCACCTGACTATGAGCAACAAAGGTTTACATCAGGGTAAAAGGTTAAACCTTTTGGGGAAAATAGTGTAAAGATCCTCTTAC